ATTTAATTAAAATTTATAATTTGTATATATAACATTAATATAATTATTTGTATATTAATAGTAACTAATAATATAAAATTTGTATCCTTAATAGACAACAAAAAATGTCTAAAATCGGTCATAAGACGTTTTTTTTGCATCTAAAAGGCTTAAAGACGTCTTGTGCACAATTTTAGACTTTGCATTGTTTGGAAACGAGGAGGAGGAGGTTCGACTGTCGAAAATCAATTTAGAGTTAATTTTTTTATGTGATATAGATAAACACTGCATATAAATAATCCTAAAATTTGAATAACATTGATCGTATAATTTTCTTTGTAATATTATAATGAAATTGACCATGATCGCTTATGGCAAACATTTATGGGAGACGGTCGTTCCGAAGTAGATAATCATCAATTTAATACACATTCAGCCAATTTAGAACTTTGAAAAACTAAGATTTGACAGATGTAATTCAATAATTATATATAAGAAAGAAAAATCGGACTTTATCATATGAATTTAAAACTTCATTATCACAAAGTGAATATTTACCTTACGGATCGCATTAGTAGTAACAGACTTGGCAACGCTGCGATGCAGCTGATAAGAAGCCAATTTCATATAACCTGGAATCTATCTCGATAAAGAAATAGATTTGAAAAACAGAAATGACAAAATTACTAAACGGAAAATTACGAAATACTAAATTATATTATCGTTTACCATAGTCAGTTACTGCTCGTCACATTAAGAAGTATAACAAGTATACATTCGACATTAAAAGGCACAACGACTCTGAGTCGCCGACAGTCTTCCCAACGAGAATGGATTAAAATGGATTGAAATTTTTTTTTTATTCGAATGTGTATTTTAAATAGCGAATACTTTTTTTTGAATTTAATTGGATTCAATTGGATTCAATTAGATGCAATTGGATTGAAAAATTGCCTATTCAAAATTTTGAACTGAACAGTATTCACAAAGCACAGAAAAAGTCAATATTATTTTTAGATTGAAAGGCATAGAGATGTGCTCCATGCAATTCCTATAAATGAATAAAAATGCATTCAGAATTGAAAAGTATTCATTTTAACATTTGTGAATCAATATTTCTGAAAATCTGAATCCATTTCAATTCATTTTAATCCATTCTAGTTTGCTGGGTCATACATTTGTTAAATATTCTTTACACTAACTTTACTAAGAATATAGAGCATATAAATAATATTCACAATTCATTACACTAATATTGCATATTCGGAATCGTAAATTTTTATTCACATTTTTGATTTCAAAATAATAGTCGAACCTTCTTAAGAATCTGGAAATATTCCAATGAATATTCCATGAAAAAAGTATTCACTTTTTAATGAATAGCTGTATAGGAATAAATATTTAAGAGTACCATTTAAAATCGTAAATAAAATGTAAAATAATTAAGCGTCATTAAACCATTTTAACCATCCTGAAATAAGATGAGTTGTTTTAAGGTATATGTAAATGTTGTTATTTTTAATACAATACTATCCAATAAACTCAAGATGATATATTATATGTTTCAATTAGGTATTCAGGGATGTCTAAATACGATAAATTAAAAATATACCAATTCCGTACAATTCTATTTGTCTGGCTGATAGACATTTAATATATTGTCATATATACTAAATATATTAGGTTTCTTAACGTTATTCTTCAATCGATTCAAATGGTATTTGGTAAACGCTATATTATCGAAACTAAAACTATATGGAACTGATATACATTAAAGCTACTACATTTAAATATCTCATAAATATCTTATTTAAATGTATAATATATTGTCATATTTTTTTATTGGAATTTACCTTAGTAGGATTCGAACCTGGAATCTCTGGATCATAAAAACTTCTGTCTTACGTGCTACACTATTTTTTAAAATTTATATTATAGATGTGTTATTTATTAGCTATTTATGTTAACCAAGTCATATACGTTTAATGTACTACGTTTATACTATGTGTTAATTCATATACTATGTGTTAATTAACATATCTACGTGAATCATATTTTCTCGTTCTTATTGGGAATATAATCTCAATCTTTATTAACATATTTATTATTAGATGATATGTTATCATTTAGATAATATATTAAATTAATTAATACCATACTGATATTAAATCCAGATACGATATATCACTTAAATATATTAATAAATATGATATATTATTTAAATAATTAATAATTTTTAATATGTTATTTAAAAAAATATTTTTCGCAAATTATAAACGTAAAAATGTTTATTTAAGGACGTTCTCCGACTGTTGTTGTGCTCAACCCAATAAGCACATTAGTAGTGCTCACCATGAAAATTTTTATGAAAATTTATTTCACTTTTATATAGTGTAAGACATTCCATAAGTGTGAATGTGTTTATACAAATTTTTTTATACAATATAAAATGCTTCCCGCCTTCGCTACTGCCGCCAAAAAAATAGCGACTTTACTTATTTTGCTCAATGATTTCTTAAAAACGAATACCAGAAATCATATTCAGACAAATTTCATATTATTTCTTGTGATATCAAGTTTTATGTCTCATTGTTTCAAAAAATTGTTAAGAAAAACTTTTTTATAGTGAATAAAAAGATCATTTTCGAATTCGCTTTAGATAGAGATCCTATGTATATATATATATATATATATA